CTGCATGCTGCATGGGGTGAGCAGCAGCACCAAAGCTCAGAGGGAGCCATAGCCCCCCAAGCCACCTTCAGCACCACCACCTGTTGCTATGCACAGCCTGTGGCAGCTCTCTCCACCCCTCAGTGTGGCCCTCGCCCACAACACAGACCCCACCCCCTCCCTGCAGGGAAGAGGCTCACACTCCAGGACACCATAACAGGGACTGTGACCCCCATCACAGTTGCTCCCTCCTCATTGCTCCAGCAGCAGGGCCAGGGAATGGCCAGAGCCCAGCCAGCATGACCCCTTAGGCAATGGGGTAGGGAGGGGGTTATCCCCCACTCTGCCCCTGGGGAACCACAGTGGGGTCTGCCTGCCGTGATCACTGCCACCACTCACTCCCTATGTGAGTGCCACAAGATGTGCCCCCTCCTGCCCCCTCCACTACTTGCCCCACACAGGGAGAGAGCAGCAGTGGCAGGGATGGTCAGGGCTGGCAGACCCCACTGCAGTCCCCTGGGGGTAGAGGGAGCAGAGGGGAGAATAACCCTCCTCCCTACCTCCCTACCTAAGGAGGCCTCTGGTCATGCCCCTGCTACTGCAGCAGTGAGGGAGAGGTGCCCCACAGACCCCAGGTTGGGCCCATGGGGCAGGGAGGGGAGAACTGAACAACCTCCTTGGCCAGTTCACTCCAGGCTACTGCTGGGGCTGGTCATGCCCCCACCACTGGAGCAGCCAGCTGAGAAATGCAGGTTGTGCTGGTGGGACAGAGAAGGGGGTGGGGGGGTGGGGAATTAACTTCTTCCCTGCTCCCTTCAAGGGCCAGTGTCTGGCCAGGCCCCCACCCTTGCCTGTCCCTGCTCTGGCTAGGGAGCAGAGGGGTGGGGCCAGCTCCTCTGGAGCAGAGAGCTGGAGCAGAAAGCCCAGGCCAGAGAGCATGCGGGGATGCTGGGGGACTCTGGTTTAAGTTAAACCAAGAAGGCATCTGGGAGAGAAGTTGCATGAACTGGTTTGAGCTCAATCAGTTAAGTCTGATAGTAGTATTCAACCATGTTTCTCTCAAACTGTTTTCGGCCATTTTGAAATTGGTTTATGTGCATTGAACTTATGTTCTCTTACAGGTTTGAACCAGTTTCTGATCACTTCAACTGGTTTATGTAT